AGGGTTCTTAAATGTAGTTAGTGGTAGTTAAGGGTTGTTAAGGGTAGTTAATGGTAGTTAAGAGTTGTTAAGGGTAGTTAAAGGCTGTTAAGGGTAGTTAATGGTAGTTAAGGGTTGTTAAGGGGTTTTAAGGGGTGTTAAGGTAGTTAAGGGTTGTTATGTTTAGTTAGGGGTAGTTAAGGGTTGTTAAGTGCAGTGTGGGTTCTCTCAGCCCTTCCTCATAGCTCAATCTCTTTAGCTCCAGAACGAGTCTCGTTGCAGATTTTTGGACCTTTCGTATTTTTTCCTTGTCATTTTTCAGGTAAGTGGTTCCATGCCAGAGATGCATATTCAAGAGTCAGTCTCACCTTCGCTGTATACAGAAAGACCCCGTGTCGAAGTTTTCTGAAGGATACCCGGATGAACAATTCCACAAGGGCCGTGACGAGGATTCGAACCTGCGTCCGGGAGCATCCCAGACACTGCCTTAATCGACTGAGCTACGACAGGGTTAAAAGGGTTGAAACCGAAGTTCTACTGAACTTACTGGATCCCGTAGCCTCTCCGAGGCACAAACTAGGGGCCAGATTCACGAAAGCACTTACGAACGTGTACATCTTTCCTCAAACTTTGACGGCTTTGGTTACATTTATTAAACAGTTTACAAGCATGAAAACTTCCCATTCAACTGTTGTTATTGTTATAAACAGCCTCCTGGTGCTTCGGAGCTCATTAACTGTTTAATAATTGGAAACAAAGCCGCCAAAGAATGAGAAAAGATGTACACGTTCTTAAGTGCTTGCGTAAGTGCTTTCGTGAATCTGGCCCCTGGCTTTTACACAGTGATCTCTGTGTGTGATACCCGGATGTTGGCCAGTATGCCATATGCAGCCGTTGTTCTGCTAATGTGACATTCTGGTATCAGATTTGGGGTTATGTCCTCTCCGAAGTCTTTCTCCTTTTCTGACTGAAGAATCTGTCTTTCCTTCATCTTACACTGCTGTACTGGTCTTGGCATTCCTGTTCCCTTCCCTCATAACTTTGCATTTGAGTGGGTTAAATTCTAGAAGTCATTTTTCAGACCACTCTTGGAGTGTACTCACCTAATTGTACTCACCTAATTGTGCTTGCGGGGGTTGAGCTTTGGCTCTTTGGTCCCGCCTCTCAACTGTCAATCAACTGGTGTACAGATTCCTGAGCCTACTGGGCTCTATCATACCTACATTTGAAACTGTGTATGGAGTCAGCCTCCACCACATCACTTTCTAGTGCATTTCATTTACTAACTACTCTGACAATGAAAACGTTCTTTCTAATGTCTCTGTGGCTCATTTGGGTACTCATCTTCCACCTGTGTCCCCTTGTGCGTGTACCAACCGTGTTAAATAATCCATCCTTGTCTATCCTGTCAATTCCCCTGAGAATTTTGCGTGTGGTGATCATGTCTCCCCGAGCTCTTCTGTCTTTCAGCGACGTTAGGTGCAGTTCACGCAGCCAGTCCTCATAACTCATGCCTCTTAGTTCTGAGACTAGCCTAGTGGCATACCTCTGAACTTTTTCCAGTATCGTCTTGTGCTTGACTAGAAGTACGGGCTCTATGCTGGTGCTGCATACTCCAGGATTGACCTTACATATGTGTTATACAAGGTTCTTAAGGATTCCTTACAGAGGTTTCTGAAAGCAGTTCTGATGTTAGCCAGTCTCTCATAGGCCGCTGATGTTATTCTCTTGATGTGGACTTCAGGAGACAGGTTTGGCGTGATATCAACTCCTAGCTCTTTCTCTCTGTCCGTTTCGTGAAGGACTTCATCTCCCATTCGGTATCCAGTGTCTGGCCTCCTAGTTCCTTCTAGTTTCATTACCGTACATTTACTTGGGTTGAAATTTAGTAGCCATTTGTTGGACCATTCCTTCAGTTTGTCTAGGTCATCTTGTAGCCTCATACTATTTTCCTCTGTCTTGATCCTCCTCATAATTTTTGCATCATCAGCAAACATTGAGAGGAACGAGTCAATTCCTTCTCGGAGATCATTTACGTATATCAGAAACAGTATAGGTCCAAGAACTGATCCCTGTGGGACTCCACTGGTGACTCTTCGCCACTCCGAGACCTCACCCCTCACAGTGACTCACTCGGTCCTGCTGCTTAGGTACTCCCTTACCCAGTGGGAGGGAGGGAATTATCAGGGGAAAAAAACACCAAGCCATTACGACTATATAGCACTTGGAAGGGGTCAGGATAAAGATTTGGGATGGAATGAGGGGAAGGAATGGTGCCCAGCCACTTGGACGGTCGGGAATTGAACGCCGACCTGCATGAATCGAGACCGTCACTCTACCAGAAGGAATTCTGGTAGAGCGACTGTCCTTCCCATTCACTCCTGCCTGCATCTCCAGTTTGTGCACTAGTCTCTTATGTGGTACTGTGTCAAAGGCTTTCTGGTAGTCCAGAAATATGCAGTCTGCCCAGCCCTCTCTCTCTCTTGCCTAATTTTTTTTGCCTGGTCATAGAACTCAATTAAACCTGTCAGGCATGATTTGCCATCCCTGAACCCATGCTGATGTTGTGTTACAAAGTTCTCTCGCTCCAGATGTTCCACTAGCTTTTTTCGCACAATCTTCTCCATCATCTTGCATGAAATGTAAGTTAAGGACACTGGCCTCTAGTTCAGTGCCTCCTGCCTATCACCCTTCTTGTATATTGGGACTACATTGGCCGTCTTCTAAATTTTTGGCAGTTCATCTGTTACCAGTGATTTGTTGTACACCATGGAGAGTGGCAGGCACAGAGCTTCTGCTCCTTCCTTTAGAATTCATGGTGAGATTCTATCCGGGCCTATAGCCTTTGTCACATCCAAATCTAGCAGATGCTTCCTCACCTCCCTACTGGTAATCACAATCTCCTCTAGTGGTGTCTGGTTTGATATTCCCTCTCTTATCTCTGGGACTTCTCTTTGCTCTGAGGTGAAGACCTCCTGGAATTTCTTATTGAGTTCCTCGCACACTTCCCTGTCGTTTATAGTGAATCTTTCTGTCCCTATCTTCAGTTCCATTACCTGTTCCTTCACTGTTGTTTTCCTCCTGATGTGGCTATGTAGCAGTTTGGGTTAAGTCTTTGCCTTGCTCGCTATGTCATTTTCATATTGCCTCTCTACCTCTCTTCTCACCCTGACGTATTCATCCCTGGCGCTCTGGTATCTCTCTGCCCTCTAGTGTTCTGTTGTTTCTATAGTTTCTCCACGTCCTTTTACTTAGTTGCTTTGCTATCTTGAGGTTATCTTGAGATGATTTCGGGGCTTTTTAGTGTCCCCATGGCCCGGTCCTCGACCAGGTCTCCACCCCCAGGAAGCAGCCCGTGACAGCTGACTAACACCCAGGTACCTATTTTACTGCTAGGTAACAGGGGCATAGGGTGAAAGAAACTCTGCCCATTGTTTCTCGCCGGCGCCTGGGATCGAACCCAGGACCACAGGATCACAAACCAGCGTGCTGTCCTACATCTCTGATTAAACTATGGGTTTCTCATCTGTATTTCATTTTGGACTGGGACGAACTTGTCTGCTGCATCCTTACATTTCTGTGTGATGTAGTCCATCATGCCTTGAACCGTCTTTCCTCTGAGCTTTATTTCCCGAGCTATACCAGTTAGGAATTTCCTTATTTCCTCATAGTTTCCATTCCGGAATGCTGGCCTTTTGCTTTCTGGTCCCTTCCTTGAGTACATTAATCCTTCTTCGACCAGATACTCAAACAACAGTACACTGTGATCACTCATGCCCACGGGGGCTTCGAAACCGATTTCCCTTATGTCTGAATCGTTCGGAGTGAATACTAGGTCGAGTCCTGTTGGGTCATCATTGCCTCTCATTCTCGTGGGACCCCTGATATGCTAACTTAGAAAGTTTCTAGTCGCCACCTCCAACAGTTTCGTTTTCCATGTTTCCTCACCTCCATGTTGTTCCTTGTTTTCCCAGTCTATCCTTCCGTGATTAAAGTCCCCCATTATGAGCAGATGGGATCGATTCCTACAGGCAGCAGTGGTTGCTCTCTCAATTATAGTGTTAACTGCTATGTTGTTTCTGTCATGCTCTTGCCTGGGTCTGGGGGTGGTGGTTCATTTGGTGGAGGGTTATATATCACTGCTACTACTACTCTTGGTCTTCCCATCGTCATGGTGCCTGTTATGTAGTCTCTGAACCCTTCGCAGCCCAGAATAACCATCTCCTCGAAACTTCATGTCTTTCTCATCAGTAAAGCTACTCCGCCTCCTCCCCTTCCTTCCCTCTCTTTCCTTATTACAGTGTAGTCCTGGGAGAACACTGCATTCATTAGAATTCCTGAGAGTGTTGTTTCTGTGAGTTCAATTACATCTGGGTTTACTTTTTGTTCTCTTTCCCTAAGTTCACAAGGCTTGCTTATAATTCCATCTATGTTCGAGTACATGACCTTGAAGCTGACTCTCTTCTGTCCATTCTTCTGACTCTCTTCTGTGTACTCATCTAATTGTACTCGCATAATTGTGCTTGCAGGGGTTGAGCTATGGCTCTTTGGTCCCGCCTCTCAACTGTCAATCAACAGGTGTACAGGTTCCTGAGCCTATCGGGCTCTATCATATCTACACTTGAAACTGTGTATGGAGTCAGCCTCCATCACATCACTTCCTAATGCATTCCATTTGTCAACCACTCTGACACTGAAAAAGTTCTTTCTAATATCTCTGTGGCTCATTTGGGCACTCAGTTTCCACCTGTGTCCCCTAGTGTGTGTACCCCTTGTGTTAAATAGCCTGTCTTTATCTACCCTATAAATAGCCTGTTTACCCTACCCTATGTGTGTGTGTGTGTGTGTTCATATTTTAGGAGAGCAGAGAAAGAGAAGATACGGAGAAACACAAAATGAGAGGGACAGAGAAATAGAGAGACAGAGCTGTAAAAAAGAAACAGATATTTTGACATTTACAAGTAAACCAAGCACTCTGTAGCCAGGATCTTGAGGATCTGTACAGGATATTACACGCTTACTTAATCATCCTTCTTTATTACAACCAAAACATTGTACAAATTAGCATAAAACAGCTTCCTGTTTACTAATGTAACATTGGATATTTTCACCTACTTAGAAAAGCATAAATAATGAAGTGAAATAAATAATACCCATTAGCCAAATTGCTATCAGTGTTCAGATGGAACAGGAGTCGAACCCTGGAACGTGTGTTCAGAAGATGGACGCAACAGGCGAAGGTGAACACCTTAGGCGCCCTAAACCTATAGTTGGGTCTCCAAGAGGAAGAACAAAGGAGCAGAGCTGCAAATTGGGTCTCCAACAGGAAGAACAGCATGGAGAGTGCCCAGAAATAAGACAGCTCCTCTTTAACTGTTCTCAACCTCTATTCACATCCAAACTGCGCTGGCTTTACCAGCTCTGTTGACCAATAACCTCCTGGATATTCTGGGTCTGTTGTCCCTGTTGACCAGTACCCTCCTGGCTGTCCTGACTCTGTTGTTCTTGTTGTCCCTGTTGTTCCTGTTGACCAGTACCCTCCTGGCTGTTCTGACTCTCTTGTTCCTGTTGTCCCTGTTGTTCCTGTTGACTTCCATCCTCCTGGCTATTCTGGCTCTGTTGTCCCTGTTGTTCCTGTTGACTTCTAACCTCCTGGCTGCTCTGGCTCTGTTGACCCTGTTGCTCCTGTTGACTTCCAACCTCCTGGTTATTCTGGTTCAGTTGTCCCTGTTGACTCTGTTGTTCCTGTTGACTTCCAACCTCCTGGCTGTTCTGGCTATGTTGACCCTGTTGACTCTGTTGTCCCTGTTGACCCAAAAGCTCCTGGCTGTTCTGGCTCTTATGCCCCTGTTCACCCACAAGCTCCTTGTTGTTCTGGCTCTGTTGTCCCTGTTGACCTTCAATTTCCTGGCTCTGTTGTCCCTGTTGGTCCTGTTGCCCCTGTTGACCCACAAGCTTCTGGCCCTGCTCTCCACTCGTCTGCTGGTACGGGGTGATGGCGTCATCGAAGCCCTGCAGGAAGGGGTTGGGGCGTTGGCCGCCCGGCCCAACGGGAGCAGACGCAGCTAGAGTAATCACCAGCAGACTCACCCCAAGAAAGCCTCCAAACCTGCACGTCTGCCAAGCAGAGGAGAGAGAGACAAGAAAAAAATACAATGTTTATTCTTCTCGGACGAGTCATTTAATGTGAGAATTGCCTTTGGATCATCTCAAATAAATATCTGTTTGGGTTCGAAGGACCAGACAACTGGGGAAAGGCAAATACCAGCCTGGCCAAACGATGCAGGGTGACTGGTCGGTGGTAGGGGATGGTCGTAAAGGGGGAGGGCGAAGTTGACCCATATGACTGTAACTATTATAGTTACGTAGTTACAGTGGTGTTAGTTATAGTGGTGATAGTTACAGTGGTGATAGGTACAGTGGTGATAGCTACAGTGATGATAGTTACAGTGATGATTGTTACAGTGATATTAGTTACAGTGGTCATAGTTACAGTGCTTATAGTTTCAGTGGTGATTGTTACAGTGGTGATAGTTACAGTGGTGGTAGTTACAGTGGTGATAGTTACAATGATGCTGGTAAAATGTGGAAACGAAGGGAAGGAAGGTTATAAAGAAGAGATAGATAGAAAGAGAAAGAGAGAGAGAGAGAGAAAGAGAGAGAGAGAGAGAGAGAGAGAGAGAGAGAGAGAGAGAGAGAGAGAGAGAGAGAGAGAGAGAGAGAGAGAGAGAGAGAGAGAGAGAGAGAGAGAGAGAGAGAGAGAGAGAGAGAGAGAGAGAGAGAGAGAGAGAGAGAGAGCATATAAAGAGGCAGACATATATACAATGCCAAATATATATATATATATATATATATATATATATATATATATATATATATATATATATATATATATATTTATATATATATATATATATATATATAACCCAAGCATCATTCAAATTTCAAACACCTTCCAGCGATTCCCGGGACAAAATTAATTCCACCAACCTCATCACACAAAAAAAGTATCCAATAACAATATACTTTTCCTCAACCACCTAAACAATTAAAACAAAAAAAGATCCCACAAATTATATAAAAGCACTCGCTTAATTTCCCAAAAGCAACGTCTACACCTGACAACCTGTCCTCACACTTAATGCATCTCACTTTCAGACGCTATTTTAAGCGGCGTTTGTTTTTGTCGGACTTACGGGCTCACCATAGCCCGTGCTACATGGACACTTCGTTCTGAGTAGCTAAATCTAAAACAACAACACATCTTGTCAGATTAAAAGAAACAGTGAGGATTAATCTCGGTTCAAATGTGCGAATTCTGAACCGTAAGCGAACTCGCTTTATCCAGGCGAAATTGTCTATATAAACACTGTCAAATACTCTAAACTGGATCACGGTTGTCTTAAGATAATAAAGGAATCACCATAGCCTAATTAAGATGAAAAACTGGCTCACGATAGCCTAAGGTGCTAAGCGTAATCCTGTAGCCTAAGTAAAACCCGTTAGCAGAAGACACTTTACTGTAGCCCGTGTGCTCAAGACTCTAGCTGTAGCAGCATAGCCTTATAGACGCTAAGCAGCAACCCGATACCCAATGACGCTAACTGCCTCACGATAGCCTACAGCGGTGACCGCCTTCAGACTCCTGCAGGACCTATTCTGAGCCTTAGCATAGGACCTTAGGAGAGGTAGCCTAACTCTGAACTGAAACCTGCATAGGAACGACTCACCCTAACCTAACCTTAAGAGTGGCAAACTATGACAAACCCAACGAACAAACCAACCCTAACCTAGCCTAACCTAGCCTATCCAGCATAACCAAAAGGAGGACTGAGTACGTGGACATGAGAAGCGGTTATGGATGGCCCACGTGTACCCGAGCCTAAGCTACTCTATCCTCTTGATAGCTATCCTTCGTACTCGCATCTTATGTGTCACTTATAAACGTACTTGAAGTAACTTTTACCTAACATTAGTGATGTTCTGTTAGGCTACGATTACGTCTCTAACGATTGCCAGGGCGCTGTATTCTGAGTTCTACGACATCGTAAGAGAGTATAGGGAGTAACATAATCAATGGGAAGCTCTGAGATTTGCTAAGTGCCATCAGAAGACGTCTACCCCCTATGTAAGAGCAATCAGAAGATGTCTACCCCACAATGTAAGAACAATCAGAAGACGTCTACCCACTATGTAAGAGCAATCAGAAGATGTCTACCCCACTATGTAAGAACAATCAGAAGACGTCTACCCACTATGCCCACTATGTAAGAGCAATCAGGAGATGTCTACCCCACTATGTAAGAGCAATCAGAAGACGTCTACCCCACTATGTAAGAGCAATCAGAAGATGTCTACCCCACTATGTAAGAGCAATCAGAAGATGTCTACCCCACTATGTAAGAGCAATCAGGAGATGTCTACCCCACTATGTAAGAGCAATCAGAAGATGTCTACCCCCTATGTAAGAGCAATTAGAAGATGTCTACCCCACTATGTAAGAGCAATCAGAAGACGTCTACCCCACTATGTAAGAGCAATCAGAAGACGTCTACCCCACTATGTTAGAGCAATCAGAAGACGTCTACTAAGTATAACGAAATAACAAACTCTAACATGATGGGAATAATACCTGATTTACCTTTTGGCCACTAACCCTAGTGGCCTCGACGAGGACAGGAAGCCGGCGGCTTGTCGGCTCCCCCCACAGCCCTAGATGACTATACCTATAACCTGACCTCTCCTCCTGTCGCTAAATCTGCTCACAAATGTGGGAGCATCACTCACCATGTTGCCGGAGATAAGAGAAGGATGCTGTGCGGAGGACGGCAAAGGAGCTGGCGAATGTGTGTGCCTGGTCCGAAGCTCCTGAGGTTATATAGACATTCCCCACCCCCTTCCATCTCCCCTCCCCTCCCCCACCGTCTTGGAGGAGACGGTACGAACCAGGGAGGGTTTGTTTAGGGAGGGGGGGGAGGGAGGGGGAGATTGAGAGCGGGAGAAGAGATGGATGCTGTTCCCGGTAGTGGCTGGGATGTTCAAACGGGGAAGAGGGGGGGGGGGAGGTGTTGTGTGTCATTGGGTGTACTCAGGTGATGTGGCAGAAATGGTGCAAGGGGTGGGGGGAATGGTAGATTGGGGGTGTGTGTGTCGGGGATGGGTCAAGTAGGGAAGGGGGGAGGAGGAGGAGGAGGAGGAGGAGGGGGATGGTGACGAATTTTGGCAGTTATTGTAGTGTACTCACCTATTGTTACTCATCTATTAGTGCCTCCGGGATCGAGCTCCGGTTTGTGTCCAACAATAAATGATAAGGCAAGATATCAAGAGAAAGCACCAAACCATTACGACTAAATAGCACTGCGAAGGGATCAGGACACGGATTTTGGGTTTGGGGGAAGGAATGATGCCCAACCACTCGGCCGATCGGGGATCATCCAGAGGGGAAATGCCTGCTGCATCCTCGGTTCCTGTCCTGAAGCGGAGGAGCTCCAAGAGATCCATAACCTTTAAGCACTCTTTGTATCTACTAATGTACATATGGTAGCCTTTAAATATATAATAAAGAACAAAAAACAAACACAAAAGGAAGGGGGGGGGGGGGGTGGTATTAGAAAAAGCATACAGAAACTGTATTGGAGAGGTACTTAATATTTCCTCTAATGCGTTGTATGTGCTTTCCTCCGAGGCTTAGGGTCCCCCTTCTTCCAGCCAGAGTTATTTTTTCGGAGATATTCCTGCGCGGGCCCTAAGCCTCTGGCTGGCCCACTAAGTGCTGCTTGTTTCTGTTTTACTTGGGCGGAGTATATATATATATATATATATATATATATATATATATATATATATATATATATATATATATATATATATATATATATATATATATATATATATATATATATATATATATATATATATATATATTAAATATGACCGAAAAAGTAAGATTAATAATTCTAACACGAATTTTCTCAATCTTTCGTACATTTCTTTTCACTGTTGGAGGTAATTCAAAAATCAATTCTCCAAAATTCATTTTTATTTCTAGTCTGACGCGACACTTGAGCGCGTTTCGTAAAAATTATTACATTTTCAAAGACTTTAGTTAACACATACACAACTGAATAGAACTTACACATCTCCGATTTTGTTTATATCTACATTTGAGTGAGGTGGATGGGGTGAGGTGGTACTTAATAAGGTATTAATTTCATCAACACAAGCCACAACATGAAACAATGGGTATTGAATAGAAGTGATTGTAGAAAGCCTATTGGTCCATATTTCTTGATGCTTCTATATTGGAGCGGATTCTTGAGGTGGGTAGAATATAGTTGTGCATTAATTGGCTGTTGATTGCTGGTGTTGACTTCTTGATGTGTAATGCCTCGCAAACGTCAAGCCGCCTGCTATCGCTGTATCTATCGATGATTTCTGTGTTGTTTACTAGGATTTCTCTGGCGATGGTTTGGTTGTGGGAAGAGGTTATATGTTCCTTAATGGAGCCCTGTTGCTTATGCATCGTTAAACGCCTAGAAAGAGATGTTGTTGTCTTGCCTATATACTGGGTTTTTTGGAGCTTACAGTCCCCAAGAGGGCATTTGAAGGCATAGACGACGTTAGTCTCTTTTAAAGCGTTCTGTTTTGTGTCTGGAGAGTTTCTCATGAGTAGGCTGGCCGTTTTTCTGGTTTTATAGTAAATCGTCAGTTGTATCCTCTGATTTTTGTCTGTAGGGATAACGTTTCTATTAGCAATATCTTTCAGGACCCTTTCCTCCGTTTTATGAGCTGTGGAAAAGAAGTTCCTGTAAAATAGTCTAATAGGGGGTATAGGTGTTGTGTTGGTTGATTCTTCAGAGGTTGCATGGCGTTTCACTTTCCTTCTTATGATGTCTTCGACGAAACCATTGGAGAAGCCGTTGTTGACTAGGACCTGCCTTACCCTACAGAGTTCTTCGTCGACTTGCTTCCATTCTGAGCTGTGGCTGAGAGCACGGTCGACATATGCGTTAACAACACTCCTCTTGTACCTATCTGGGCAGTCGCTTTTGGCATTTAGGCACATTCCTATGTTCGTTTCCTTAGTGTAGACTGCAGTGTGGAAACCTCCGCTCTTTTCCATGACTGTTACATCTAGAAAGGGCAGCTTCCCATCCTTCTCCATCTCGTAAGTGAAACGCAGCACGGAACTCCGCTCAAATGCCTCCTTCAACTCCTGCAGATGTCTGACATCAGGTACCTGTGTAAAAATGTCGTCAACATACCTGCAGTATATGGCCGGTTTCATGTTCATGTCGACTAAGACTTTTTGCTCGATGGTACCCATGTAGAAGTTTGCAAACAGGACACCTAGGGGAGAACCCATGGCGATCCCATCTACTTGCTTATACATTTGCCCATCCGGGCTCAAGAAGGGTGCCTCTTTAGTACAAGCTTGGAGTAGTTTCCAAGCTTGTACTAAAGGCTTGTACTAGCTTGTATGCCGCCTCATCATGGAGTCCCCATCTGAAGAAGCATATAATGAAACTGGAAAAGGTTCAGAGGTTTGCAACGAGACTCGTCCCAGAGCTACGAGGGATGGGGTATGAGGAGCGCCTGAGGGAACTGTTCCTTACGACACTAGAAAGAAGAAAGGAGAGGGGGGACATGATAGGAATGTATAAGATACTCAGAGGGATTGACAGAGTGGACATAGACGAAATGTTCACACGGAATAGTAACAGAACGAGGGGACATGGATGGAAGCTTGAAACTCAGATGAGTCACAGAGATGTTAGGAAGTTTTCTTTTAGCGTGAGAGTAGTGGGAAAATGGAATGCACTTCAGGAACAGGTTGTGGAAGCAAATACTATTCATAATTTTAAAACCAGGTATGATAGGGTAATGGGACAGGAGTCATTGCTGTAAACAACCAATGCTCGAAAGGCGGGATCCAAGAGTCAATCAATGCTCGATCCTGCAGACACAACTAGGTGAGAACACACGCACACACACACACACACACACACACACACACACACACACACACACACACACACACACACACACACACACACACACACACACACACACACACACACACACACACACACACACACACACACACACACACACACACACACACACACACACACACACACACACACACACACACACATATATATATATATATATATATATATATATATATATATATATATATATATATATATATATATATATATATATATATATAGAGTCGTCAAGTTTCTGTACTCACCTAGTCACCTAGTTGTACTCACCTAGTTGTGTTTGCGGGGGTTGAGCTCTGGCTCTTTGGTCCCGCCTCTCAACCGTCAATCAACAGGTGTACAGATTCCTGAGCCTATCGGGCTCTATCATATCTACACTTGAAACTGTGTATGGAGTCAGCCTCCACCACATCACTTCCTAATGCATTCCATTTGTCCACCACTCTGACACTAAAAAAGTTCTTTCTAATAACTCTGTGGCTCATTTGGGCACTCAGTTTCCACCTGTGTCCCCTTGTGCGTGTTCCCCTTGTGTTAAATAGACTGTCTTTATCTACTCTATCAATTCCCTTCAGAATCTTGAATGTGGTGATCATGTCCCCCCTAACTCTTCTGTCTTCCAGCGAAGTGAGGTTTAATTCCCGTAGTCTCTCCTCGTAGCTCATACCTCTCAGCTCGGGTACTAGTCTGGTGGCAAACCTTTGAACCTTTTCCAGTTTAGTCTTATCCTTGACTAGATATGGACTCCATGCTGGGGCTGCATACTCCGGGATTGGCCTGACATATGTGGTATACAAAGTTCTGAATGATTCTTTACACAAGTTTCTGAATGCCGTTCGTATGTTGGCCAGCCTGGCATATGCCGCTGATGTTATCCGCTTGATATGTGCTGCAGGAGACAGGTCTGGCGTGATATCAACCCCCAAGTCTTTTTCCTTCTCTGACTCCTGAAGAATTTCCTCTCCCAGATGATACCTTGTATCTGGCCTCCTGCTCCCTACACCTATCTTCATTACATTACATTTAGTTGGGTTAAACTCTAACAACCATTTGTTCGACCATTCCTTCAGCTTGTCTAGGTCTTCTTGAAGCCTCAAACAGTCCTCTTCTGTTTTAATCCTTCTCATAATTTTAGCATCGTCCGCATCGTCCGTCTGTGGATCCCCTCCCATGTTGGAAAATGTGGAAATGAACGAGCAGATGTGCTGGCTGCTGAAGGCGCTGAAGGAGACCATATTGAACACTTCATACCCAAAACTGCTACAAATTAGAGGTATTATGAGGCAACATCACCGTGACAAGGTAACTGAGGAGAGGAGGATAGAATTACAAATCAGTGAATCTCTACGATGGTACAACATGGTTGCAGCTGACAACTCCAATCATTATGGACGAAGAGGAGGTGGCCGCGGGAGAATCAGTAGTAGCTAGAATCCGTCTTGGATACAAATATCCATGGCGATTCAGAATGGAAACAACAGTTGAGCAGCGGAGTTGCAGAATCTGTGCCCGAAACGCTACGCGTACTAGTGGCTGTACAAGAATGTAACAACTCTTGTATATATCTCAAAAAAAAAAAAAAAAAAAAAAAAAAAAAAAAAAAATGAGAGTGACGGACACCGCCTTGACCACTACCTGAGAGAATCTGAACATCTAAGAGTCTTTTAAAATATCTGAAGAATAATAAACCCCACATTGTTTGAGTTAGGAAAATACCATTTGTCAAATATAGATAATGTTTTTAAGAGATTCCCCCATTTTGCACCCGCAAGATAACGTAAGATTTTAAGGGTTGACAAATGTTAATCTTCTTGTTTGAGAAGCTGTTCACTTGAGACAGTTAAGCAAGTCTCAACTGTGTCTGGGTACAAGTGACAGGATGAACAACCCAGCGGGTTTTCTTCCTATTGGGGGAGTGTTGTACATGCTGCTATGGCGGTGTGTCCACTCACAGGATGAGTGGCGCTGCCCAATAAACTCGTCCCTCGGGCCAACATTTACCAAGACGCAGGTTCAATACCCGCTCTGCTCCAGTGATTTTCACACTGGTCTCTCAAGCTATTATGATTTCCTTGTGTAATGGTGCGGGTGTTAGTATGGAGCCTCGTGGGACTCCACCAGTGAGTATCCCCATTCCCGATTCTTCAAATTTTTACTGTTATTCTGTTTCGTATTTGCTAGGACGTGTCCCGCCCAATTATTTATTTTGCATGACTTTAAGGGAGAAAAATAAATATATAAAATGTAATGTAAATAAAGATAAAATGTAAATAAAATAAAAATAAAAGATAAATAAAAAAGGGAGATAAATAAAAGTGGATAAGAAATAAAGGAAGATTGCAAAGCTCCGTCTTTGTTGTTTAATATATATACAGGAGCGTCTCTATGTATTTACTGTTTGTGTCGGCAGAATCGGGCTATTAGCTCTTGGACTCCGCCTTTCTAACCAATCTATTTTTCCTCTATTATATCTACTACATATATATCGCTCTAACACAGACACACACACACAAACACACACACACACACACATGTGTGTGTGTGTGTACTCACCTAATTGTACTCACCGCAAGCACAATTAGGTGAGTACAATTAGGTGAGTACACACACACACACACACACACACACACACACACACACACACACACACACACACACACACACACACACACACACATACCGCACATGAGACTACCGATACAGTACCGCACATGAGACTGCTATACAAACTTGAGAGGCAGGCAGGAGTAAGCGGAAAGGCCCTAGCGTGGGTAAGGAACTACCTAACAGGAAGGAGCCAGAGGGTAATGGTAACGGGCGAGAAGTCGGACTGGCGAACAGTAACAAGTGGAGTACCTCAAGGATCGGTGCTGGGACCAATCCTCTTTCTAATTTACGTAAATGATATGTTTACAGAAGTGGAATCATACATGTCAATGTTTGCGGATGACGCAAAATTAATGAGAAGAGTTGCGACAGATGAGGATTGTAGGATCCTCCATTTGGACTTAAACAGGCTGCAGAGATGGTCAGGGAAATGGCTACTGGAGTTTAACACCAGTAAATGTAAAGTTATGGAAATGGGATCAGGTGACAGGAGACCAAAGGGACAGTACACAATAAAGGGGAACAGCCTACCTGTAACGATTCGAGAAAGAGACCTGGGAGTGGATGTGACACCTAATCTAACTCCTGAGGCACATATAAATAGGATAACGACAGCAGCGTACTCTACACTGGCGAAAATTAGAACTTCATTCAGAAACCTAAATGAGAAGGCTTTTAGGGCGCTTTACACTGCCTACGTGAGACCCGTCTTAGAGTATGCTGCGCCATCATGGAGCCCCCACCTGAAGAAACACATAAAGAAACTGGAGAAGCTTCAGAGGTTTGCGACGAGGCTTGTCCCAGAGTTACGAGGGATGGGATATGAAGAGCGTCTGAAGGAACTGAACCTTACGACACTAGAGAAAAGAAGGGAGAGAGGAGATATGATAGGGACATAAAATACTCAGGGGAATTGACAAAGTGGAAATAGATGAAATGTTCACACGTAATAATAACAGAACGAGGGGACATGGGTGGAAACTGGAAACTCAGATGAGTCACAGAGATGTTAGGAAGTTTTCTTTTAGCGTGAGAGTAGTGGAAAAATGGAATGCACTTGGGGAACAGGTTGTGGAAGCAAATACTATTCATACTTTTAAAACTAGGTATGATAGGGAAATGGGACAGGAGTCATTGCTGTAAACAACCGATAGCTGGAAAGGCGGGATCCAAGAGTCAATGCTCGATCCTGCAAACACAAATAGGTGAGTATAGGTGAGTACACACACACACACACACACACACTCACACACACACACACACACACACACACACACACACACACACACACACACACACACACACACAACCCTAGGAAGCAGCTAACCCCCCAGGTACCTGTTTAATTCTAGATGAACAGGGCCGTCAGAGTGAAAGAAACTCTACCCATTTCTTTCCGACACCGTCGGAAATCGAACTCGGGCCATTAGGACTACGACCCCCATGGGCTATCCACTCAGCCACGAGGCTCCGTCCCTGTGTGTATGTCGGGAAGAGGTATTTACAGGACCGAGCCTTAGCTCCCTAGCCCCGCTTAGCTCCCTCTCACGTTCAGTTAAGGTTAGTTAGTTAGTTTAGTTCATTTATTATGCACCCCATACCCATCCCGTGGGCGGTAGTGGAAAGAGTTACAGAGGCACATAATGGGCTCAGGGACTGAACCTCACAAGAATTACAATCTTGCCAATGTGACTAGCTGCTATTCCTGTACACGTAACCGACCACACAAAAGGCAAAGTTGACGATTAAATAATGCTTAGACCGAAGACAATAGAATATCCTGTTAGTTCGTACGTTGGTATATGTCTATATGCCAGTGCGCGCCTGCGTGCGCGTACTGCATGCTTGTAGTGGCTGACCAGGGAGCCCCAGAGGTCGTTAACCCCCCCACCCCCCAACACTCCCCATCTCTGCCCCATCACCCCCCCCCACCCCACCATGTCTGCAAAAAAAAGGAAGATTCCTTCACACGGTCAAGGGTGAGTTAGCGGACGGAGGCGAGGACGTTCTGGGGGCGCTTCCGGTGACGAGTCCTTAGGACGAGTGCTTGTCCCCGAGGCTCTTGAAGCCCACCTTGAGGATCACAGTCCTTGTTCTGCCCCGTTGTCAGTAGAATGTTCTCCCCGTTGTCAGTAGAATGTTCTCGCCCGTTGTCAGTAGAATGTTCTCCCCCGTTGTCAGTTTAATGTTCTCCCCCGTTGTCAGTAGAATGTTCTCCCCCGTTGTCAGTAGAATGTTCTCCCCCGTTGTCAGTATAATGTTCTCGCCCGTTGTCAGTATAATGTTCTCCCCCGTTGTCAGTAGAATGTTCTCCCCCGTTGTCAGTATAATGTTCTCGCCCGTTGTCAGTATAATGTTCTCACCCGTTGTCAGTAGAATGTTCTTCCCCGTTGTCAGTAGAATGTTCTCCCCCGTTGTCAGTATAATGTTCTCGCCCGTTGTCAGTATAATGTTCTCACCCGTTGTCAGTAGAATGTTCTTCCCCGTTGTCAGTAGAATGTTCTGCCCCGTTGTCAGTAGAATGTTCTCCCCCGTTGTCAGTATAATGTTCTCGCCCGTTGTCAGTATAATGTTCTCGCCCGTTGTCAGTAGAATGTTCTCCCCCGTTGGCAGTAGAATGTTCTCCCCCGTTGGCAGTAGAATGTTCTCCCCCGTTGTCAGTAGAATGTTCTCCCCCGTTGTCAGTATAATGTTCTCGCCCGTTGTCAGTATAATGTTCTCCCCCGTTGTCAGTAGAATGTTCTCCCCCGTTGTCAGTAGAATGTTCTCCCCCGTTGTCAGTAGAATGTTCTCCCCCGTTGTCAGTAGAATGTTCTCCCCCGTTGTCAGTATAATGTTCTCGCCCGTTGTCAGTATAATGTTCTCTCCCGTTGTCAGTATAATGTTCTCGCCCGTTGTCAGTAGAATGTTCTCCCCCGTTGTCAGTAGAATGTTTTCCCCCGTTGTCAGTATAATGTTCTCGCCCGTTGTCAGTAGAATGTTCTCCCCCGTTGTCAGTACAATGTTCTCCCCCGTTGTCAGTATAATGTTCTCCCCCGTTGTCAGTATAATGTTCTCCCCCGTTGTCAGTAGAATGTTCTCCCCCGTTGTCAGTAGAATGTTCTCCCCCGTTGTCAGTATAATGTTCTCCCCCGTTGTCAGTATAATGTTCTCGCCCGTTGTCAGTATAATGTTCTCGCCCGTTGTCAGTAGAATGTTCTCCCCCGTTGTCAGTATAATGTTCTCGCCCGTTGTCAGTATAATGTTGTCCCCCGTTGGCAGTAGAATGTTCTCCCCCGTTGTCAGTAGAATGTTCTCCCCCGTTGTCAGTAGAATGTTCTCCCCCGTTGTCAATATAATGTTCTCCCCCGTTGTCAGTAGAATTTTCTCCCCCGTTGTCAGTACAATGTTCTCCCCCGTTGTCAGTACAATGTTCTCCCCCGTTGTCAGTATAATGTTCTCGCCCGTTGTCAGTATAATGTTCTCCCCCGTTGTCAGTATAATGTTCTCCCCCGTTGTCAGTAGAATGTTCTCCCCCGTTGTCAGTAGAATGTTCTCCCCCGTTGTCAGTAGAATGTTCTCCCCCGTTGTCAGTATAATGTTCTCGCCCGTTGTCAGTAGAATGTTCCCCCCGTTGTCAGTAGAATGTTCTCCCCCGTTGTCAGTAGAATGTTCTCCCCCGTTGTCAGTAGAATGTTCTCCCCCGTTGTCAGTATAATGTTCTCCCCCGTTGTCAGTAGAATGTTCTCCCCCGTTGTCAGTAGAATGTTCTCCCCCGTTGTCAGTAGAATGTTCTCCCCCGTTGGCAGTAGAATGTTCTCCCCCGTTGTCAGTAGAATGTTCTCCCCCGTTGTCAGTAGAATGTTCTCCCCCGTTGTCAGTAGAATGTTCTCCCCCGTTGTCAGTAGAATGTTCTCCCCCGTTGTCAGTAGAATGTTCTCCCCCGTTGTCAGTAAAATGTTCTCCCCCGTTGTCAGTATAATGTTCTCGCCCGTTGTCAGTATAATGTTCTCCCCCGTTGTCAGTATAATGTTCTCCCCCGTTGTCAGTATAATGTTCTCCCCCGTTGTCAGTATAATGTTCTCCCCCGTTGTCAGTATAATGTTCTCCCCCGTTGTCAGTAGAATGTTCTCCCCCGTTGTCAGTAGAATGTTCTCCCCCGTTGTCAGTAGAATGTTCTCCCCCGTTGTCAGTAGAATGTTCTCCCCCGTTGTCAGTAGAATGTTCTCCCCCGTTGTCAGTATAATGTTCTCCCCCGTTGTCAGTATAATGTTCTCCCCCGTTGTCAGTAGAATGTTCTCCCCCGTTGTCAGTAGAATGTTCTGTCCGTTATTAGTCTTGGAGCTGAGCTGGAGACTCCGGCTACCTTTCCTCAGTAAGAAAAATAATGTAATTTATGCTTTTTATTTCTTGACGTCATCATTTGTGGACAAAAAAATAGATGAATCACCCTGAAGAGTTACTCATCCAGGATGCTTCGTGTACTCACCTAGTTGTATATACTCACTTAGTTGAGTTTGCAAGGTTGAGCACCTGCTCTTAAGCCTCGCCGCCTTTCGACTATCATTAGTTCAATGCAGACGAGGAGTCACAATAACGTGGCTGCAGTATGTTGACCAAACGACACACTTGAAAGTGAAGGGACGACGATGTTTCGGTCCGTCCTGGACCCTCCTCAAGTCGATTGTGACAATTCAAAATTTCAAAAAATTCAAATTCAAAATTCAAATGTTTATTTAGGTAAAGTACATACATACAAGAGGTGATACAGATATTAATGAATTTATAGATAGAGCTAGTACATACAATGCCTAAAGCCACTATTACGCAAAGCGTTTCGGGCAGAATCGATTTGATTCGACTCTCAATCGACTGAATCGACTTGAGAATGGACCGAAAGTGAAAGGACGGACCGAAACGTCGTCGTCCCTTCACTTTCTAGTTTGTGGTTTGGTCAACATTAGTTCAATGCACTGACTCTTTTCGCTGATTTTTCCTTATCAGATTTACATATAAAGCTGTGTATAGAATTGGCTTCGACAGCTGTCGAAGCCAATTTACGACTCTTAAACCAGGAAAATTTTTTCCTGACAGTCCTGTGACTCATCTGTGTCGTGTTTCCAATTACGTCCTCTCGTTCTACTGTTCCTTAATTTAATAACTGTTCCTTAAGTTCCCTCAGACTTACTTTATAGCTCAGTGGCCTTAGCTCAGGAACAAGTCTTGTTACATATATTTGTTTACATTTTCTTGTTTCGTTGTGTGCTTATTAAGGTAGGGGGTTCCATGCCGGGGCAGCGTACTCATTAACAGGTCACACAAGGGATGTAGACAGCGCTCGGAAGGCCTCGGAAGGCCGCTCGGGAGCCGGTCGGCCGAGCGGACAGCACGCTGGGCTTGTGATCCTGTGGTCCAGGGTTCGATCCCAGGCGCCGGCGAGAAACAATGGGCAGAGTTTCTTTCACCCTATGCCCCTGTTACCTAGCAGTAAAATAGGTACCTGGGTGTTAGCCAGCTGTCACGGGCTGCTTCCTGGGGGTGGAGGCCTGGTCGAGGACCGGGCCGCGGGGACACTAAAAGCCCCGAAATCATCTCAAGATAACCTCTTAGTCCAAGTTGCTGATGGATGACGGGACGGTTGCCAGTATGGCGTCTGCTGTGTTTGATAGTCAGATGAATGTGTTAATCTGGTGTTAGATCCCTAGTTATATCCACTCCTAAGTTTTTCTCCTTTTCAGAAGCTGGAAGACGTCTTCCCTTCATCTTGTACTGTATGTGAGGTCTTCTTGCTCCAACGTCTACCCTCATAACCTTGCATTTTTCAGGGGTAAAGACTAGTAGCCATTTCTCAGACCATGTCTGGGGATTGTGTAGTTCATTATATAATGTACTGAAGTCCTCGTCAGTTCTGTTTTGCCTGATTAGTTTAGCGTCATCAACAAACATGGGTAAGAATGAGCTTACTTCCTCTGTTAGATCGCTTGTCTATACTAGAAAGAGGATGGGGCCCCGAGTACCTATTCCTGAGGTACTCCACTCGTTACCTTTCCTTTTTATGATAGCTCTCCATAACTATGACTCCGCTTTCTTCCTGAAAGGTGCTCCTTCACCCACTTTATTACATTACAAGATACACCTCCAGCCTGTTTTTCGAGTTTGTATTGAAGTCGCTCGTGAGGAACAGTGTGTGTGTACTCCCCTAGTTGTGCTTGCGGGAGTTGAGCTTTGGCTCTTTGGTCCCGCCTCTCAACTGTCAATCTACTGGTGTGCAAATTCCGGAGCTTCTCGAGCTCTATCATATCTACATTTGAAACTGTGTATGGAGTCAGCCTCCACCACATGAAACTTCCTAGTGCATTCCATTTACAATCAATTTTTTTCCACCCCTTCCCCGCAGGAAGCAGCCCGTAAGAGCTGACTAACTCCCAGGTACCTATTTACTGCTAGGTGAACAGGAGCATCAGGGTGAAACAAACTCTACCTATTTGTTTCCGCCTTCGCCGGGGATTAATCCCCCGAACACTAGGATTACGAATCCCGAGCGCTGTCCACTCAGCCACCAGGCCGAGTGACCACACCGATCACCAAGCTGGTCCTGAAGAAGGGGGGGGGAAATAGGTGGAGTGGGGGAGGGGGGGGGGGAGGGGAGGGGAGGGTAGGGGGGGGGGGGGGAGGAGAGAGGAGGGTAGGGGGGGGGGAGGGAGGGGGGTGGGGTTGACTTTGAGAGTGTGGGTTGTGTGTGTGTGTTAAGGTTCAGTCAGTCTCCTACTATACAGGGTCAAGGCTCTCCCCCCCCCTCCCTTGAACTGTCACCGCAAAAATTTCAACTTTTTAATTTTGGAGTTCAGTGATTAAGCAGCCTGTTGGCGTTGTTTTAATTCCTGGCGAGATTATCTCTAATATCCTCGTGGTTAGGTTAGGTTAGGTTAAGTTAGGTTAGGTTAGATGGGTTAGGATAGGGAAGGGTAGGTTAGGTTAGGTTAGATGGGTTAGGATAGGGTAGGGTAGGTTAGGTTAGGCTAGATGGGTTAGGATAGGGCAGGGTAGGTTAGGTTAGGTTAGATGGGTTAGGATAGGGTAGGGTAGGTTAGGTTAGATGGGTTAGGATAGGGTAGGGTAGGTTAGGTTAGATGGGTTAGGATAGGGTAGGGTAGGGTAGGTTAGGTTAGGTTAGATGGGTTAGGTTAGGATAGGTTAGGTTAGGTTAGGTTAGATGGGTTAGGTTAGGTTAGGTTAGGTTAGGGTAGGGTAGGGAAGGTTAGGTTAGGTTAGATGGGTTAGGTTAGGGTAGGGTAGGGTAGGTTAGGTTAGGTTAGGTTAGGTTAGGTTAGGGTAGGTTAGGTTAGGTTAGGTTAGATGTGTTAGGTTAGGGTAGGGTAGGTGGCTGGTGACAGCAGATCACTCTTTATGTACTAGTTTTCCTGCCTTTTCCTGTTCCTTTCATCATAACTTTGCACTTGTCTGGGATAAGGTCCAGTAGTAATTCTTCCCAACCCGTGTGTGTGTGATTACCTAAGTGTAATTACCTAAGTGTAGTTACAGGATGAGAGCTACGCTCGTGGTGTCCCGTCTTCCAAGCACTCTTTGTCATATAACGCTTTGAAATTACTGACGGTCTTGGCCTCCACCACCTTCTCACCTAATTTGTTCCAACCGTCTACCACTCTGTTTGCGAAAGTGAATTTTCTTATATTTTTTCGGCATCTGTGTTTAGCTAATCTATGACCTCTTGTTCTTGAAGTTCTCAGGAAATCTTCCCTGTCGATTTTATCAATTCCTGTTACTATTGTGTGTGTGTGTGTGTGTGTGTGTGTGTGTGTGTGTGTGTGTGTGTGTGTGTGTGTGTGTGTGTGTGTGTGTGTGTGTGTGTGTGTGTACTCAACTAGTTGTACTCACCTAGTTGTGTTTGCGGGGGTTGAGCTCTGGCTCTTTGGTCCCGCCTCTCAACCGTCAATCAACAGGTGTACAGATTCCTGAGCCTATTGGGCTCAATCGTATCTACACTTGAAACTGTGTATGGAGTCAGCCTCCACCACATCACTTCCTAAAGTGATGTGGTGGAGGCGTGTGTGTGTGTGTGTGTGTGTGTGTGTGTGTGTGTGTGTGTGTGTGTGTGTGTGTGTGTGTGTGCAGAAAATTCAACTCCTGGGCACCACCTTTCAGTCACAGGTCGCCTACTGTAATAACACCCCCCTCATCTTCTCCCCGCCACCTTTTCTTGAAACTATACATGCCGTAAGTACTGAAAAAATTTCTTTCTTGCGTCCGTCATAGCCCCCATATGAGTTTCTAGACTATACTCATGTCGTGTCATCTAGTGTCTACGCCAATAGACCAGTCCTATCCACTTATAGGTCGTCCTGATGGGTCGTTCTTAGTCTCTCCTAATAGGTCGTCTCTTGACCAACCTGTTTTTGCACGATTCTGGTCGTGTGGGTCTGCCAGTGCTGGCGCGGGAGAGCGTTTGTGTACACACGAGAAATCTGCGAATCATGTGGCCCAGACGACCACCACCCCTCCCCAGAACACCTCCCCCACTCCCTTCAATCTCCCCCCCCACCCCCAGCTACACAACATCCCTCCTTCCCCCCACAACTTCCCCGCCCCACCCTGCACACAGCTGCCTCCTCCTCCTTCCATAGCAACCAGTCTGCCATGGTTTCCTTGTCCCACTGAAGGTGGCACAAGTACGGCACTGTAGGCACTCACAAGGTGGGTAGAGGCTCCTTAATTAATATAATAATAATAATTCTCCACCCTTTTCTGTACCATCTGCATCCTCCTACAATAACCCGATCTCAACTACCACCCCCAACTACCACCCCGACTACCACCCCAACTATCACCCCGACTAACACCCCAACTACCACCTCAACTACCACCCCGACTATCACCTCAACTACCTCCCCAACTACCACCCCCACTATCACCTCAACTACCTCCCCAACTCCCACCCCAACTACCAACCCAACTACCACCCCAACTACCACCCCAACTACCACCCCAACTACCATCCCAACTACCACCCCAACTACCACCCCAACTACCACCCCAACTACCATCCCAACTACCACCCCAACTACCACCCCAACTACCACCCCAACTACCACCCCAACTACCACCCCAACTACCATCCCAACTACCACCCCAACTACCACCCCAACTCCCACCCCAACTACCAACCCAACTACCACCCCAACTACCACCCCAACTACCACCCCAACTACCATCCCAACTACCACCCCAACTACCACCCCAACTACCTCCCCAACTACCACCCCAACTACCTCCCCAACTACCACCCCAACTACCACCCCAACTA